GACAGTGTCTGAATCACTCCCGTTACCACATCTCTCATTCTACCCATGTACTTTCACTCCCAGAGTAGGGAATGAACAGCCATGCCTTGATGCAGCAGGCAGACGGCAGCCACAGAGAATCACAACACAAGATGGTAACAGAACATACCCAAATGCTTTCAAATCTGTAAAGTAGGCAGCTTCACTGCATTTTCCATGGCTCATATGTGTGCTACCTTTCCTTGCACTGCTCTTCCTTCTGATTCACTGATTCAGTCTTCCTGACCAGTGCCCTCACAAAAGCAAACAGCACAAAGTGGCTGCAGAGATAAGCAGGACTATGCACACGCCAGGAAACTGGCATGTGCACACCCCCAGAGCCCCATGTCTTGTGCCACTGTGTGTTACAAATATGCCTTGGTTCTGCCTCCCCCCATTTGTGAAACCACCACAGACTGATTTGTGCAGGCCTTTTTCTGAAGTGTCTATCTGCAGGTTTTGATAAATTGTAAGTAACTCTGCCTAAATCTTCCATTGTTGGTGCTCTTCTCCACTGTGTTCCTTAAGCAACTCAAGAACAGCCCCAAACCACAGGATCAAACAGCAACACTAACAAACAAGCCTGTTAAATAGTTCAGCTAAATTTCTGTATCTCAGCTTGGCTACAAGAGTGTATCCATTACTCTGTGCCTTAACAGAAGGAGCATGGGCATGACCTTGGGAATACCCATCCCTCTTTGACTGGACCATTATAGTGAAAACCCTTTTAGTTTCCAGTCAACAGGAGGAACAGAAGCCAAACTATGCCCCAAAGGAGATGGACAGAGGAGTTCAGTTTCAGATGCTGGCAGGAATCTGTAGTATCCAGAGCCTGTCTTACCTGTATTTTAAACACAACATTGCTCTGGGATTTACCACTTTACACAAATGACAGCCACAGCACAAAGAAGTTAAGAAACATGCCCAAGATAAGAACAAAGAATCTGTAGAACAGTGGGGGTTTCAGCTTTGCTTCCGAGACAGTTGTCTTCCCACAGAGGTGTACTTCTCATACTCTGAGATGACCATCAAGTGACTAGCTGATGGTCACTTCTTATAGGAGACAGCTTTTCTTTCTCCTTAATGCAGTTCTTGGTAATTGGCTTACTCTGTCACCCATTTATGAGAGGAATAAGGGTTCAGGGTGAAATCAGATCATCTTATTCTGCTCAAAGATAACAAGTATGAAATGACTCCACTAAAGTCAGGGTGAATCCCTCCAAGTTTTACTCCAGTGTATCAAATATCAGACCATCACTAAGAAAACTAATTTTATAGAGGAAAATAGGGCAAAACTACTGGGTGGTTTCATTGTCCAAGGCCATATGTGCTGTAACTATAGGTTGCTCAGCAAATAACTTCAAACCCATCCTGATAATTAGGAGATGTTTTCATTGTTATCTTCTGTCCCTGGACAGATGTTCAGTATGGAAAGTTTCAGTATGATGCAGGTGTGTGGCTTTCATGGTCTAAGCAGGAAGAACAGTTTTCGCAGCTCGAAATGGAAACTTTTATCACTGTCAAGCACTTGGGTTTTTGTTCTGCCCCACTCAGTTCAGGTTTCCAAGCATTGCAATGATTCAACATGGCAAAGAGGTTACCAGAGATTGGGTTCTAGAGAACCTGTGGTTTAGGGCTGTGGTTTAGCAAGGGAAAGAAAAAAAAAAGACAAGCATAAGAAGGAAGAGCTGTGCTGATGCCTTAAGGAAAACCTCTGCTGGTGCTGTTGGACAGATGAGTTCTGGATGCCTGTGAGGCTGACAATTTAATTTAAGCAGCAGCTCAGTGGTAGGCGACATGCAACGTAAATAATGTGCTCAGAGGAGTCTATAAAGGGCAGAGCTGCCTCTAATAGCCTATTCTGTATTATCAGCCACCCCATTGTACCTTCTGGCACGGGGGGGGGGGGGGCGTTGGGCCACCCCATTGTACCTGCTGGCAGGGGGGGGGGGGACGTTGGGTGCGGCGCGGCAGAGCATCAGCCCTGGTGAGTTCATTGCCAGGTCCCCTCTGGGGAGGAAGTGTTCCCTGTTTACAGGAAATGCAGGATAAGGGTGGGAGGGCCAGGCTGAGCACAAGCTGAGGCCACGATGGCTCGTTGGAGGGCAGGGAGGGGGTGTGCCACTTGTCTGGGGCCCAAGGACGCTCTTTTGTTGACAGGCTTGTTCAGCTCTTAGTGTTGCTTTATTTACCCCAGTGGTGTAAAGACGCAGGATCAGGAATGGTGCTCACAGAGAGCAGTGCACCCTGGGGTCCAGGCAGCTGAGCCTGAAAAATGGATTGGCTGTGCAGGTGCCTCAAGGAAAGAGCAGTCCATCCATCTCACAACACTGGGGACATGGCTTTTAAGCCTCACTGTCAGGCTTTTCTTACCTCTTCTCTACTTATGCTGCCCCCTGCTAGGCCAGAGAACATTCCCTGAGATGGAGCCCAAACCCAAACCATTGCTCAGTGAGCACCTCCAGCAGCCATGCTTGGAGGTGGAAGAATTTTGTCCCTAAAGTTGTTAGAACAGAGCAAAAGCCTTACACATCTGACCAAAAATCCTCTTCCTCTCTCCTGTATCATGTCCCACATCAATGCAAGAAAGAGCAAAATTCAAGTTTAAATGTTTGTGCCATGAGGAAGAACACCTTTCTGGCCTTGGCAGGCAAACAGCTTATGTCTCAGAGTGTGAATGTGATTATTCCTGTTACCTTGCCTTGTCAGGCTCTGTATGTTATTAGCAGATATCATGCCTTTTCTGCCCTTTTCAGACTTCAGCTGCAATATTTGCCTTCATGATCTGCCATAACAGCAAACTGACTGGCTAAACACATGCTGCAGTAATAGGCATTTCCTTTTATTTGCTTTAAATGCATTTGAACTTTTAATTTCCTTCAGTAATGACTCTTCCTTTCGCAAAATGAATTTAAAAGTCATTTACAAATAGATATAAGAAAATAAAGGAGTTTTAATAAAATAGGATTATTTGTCATCCTATTGCCTCTCCTAATTACCATCACTGTAGTGATCACTTAATATTATTTAACATTTTTTGAATAAGGATGTCACTGCCTGAGAAGGACATGCTGGACATGTGACTTGAAATAAATAAATCCCAGGACAGGGATATTCTCTCCAGTATGAAGTGTGAGCTCTCTCCAGTATGTCCATGTCTCTCTCGCACTGAGGAGCCCAGCAGTGGCATATAAAATAGATGAAAGGATGTGGATTCATTGCAGTAAGACACATGGTGGATATCAGGAAAGGTGTACTGCCTAGGAGCTCTGTGGCAACACAGAACAGTCTCGGAAGTGAAGACCTGACCTGAGTGCTGCTGATGTGGCTGGAGAAGGGTAGGACAGAGAGGGTGGTACAATATGCCTGTGCCCATCCCATGTGCCAATGAGACTCATGACATTCTGGCACTTCTCTTTAAACACAAGCCGGAGCCACTGGACTGCAGGCCTACTATGAATGGAATCCATGCAACAGTTCAGCAACACTGCAAGTTTTTCTACTGTGTGATTCTTCAATAATGCCACTTGTAATGATTACCAGACTAATATACTGAGGCATTACTCCTCAATTATAATGTGTTCTTATTTTAACATAAAGCAGTCATTTACCAGTGAGCGAGCGAAAAACAAAGGGTGGGCCTTAATTTCACGTCTGGTGGGGCAAACAATTACAAATTGCAGAAAGGCTGTGCAGGCAAGGAGAGAGACTGGCTGAACTATTAATAAGCCTCCTGAGCTGTACCTGCCACTTGCTCTTGCTTTCGCTTGTGATGAGGCCTCTGTTGCTGTAACCAGGCGGGTTTTTGGAAGCCTGGTGGTGCTACCCACACTGAAAGGCTGCAGACAGTAATACTAAGCAGGAGAAGACAATGGTGAGGAGCAGTGCTGCTGCTTGGCCCTTTGCCCAGCCATAGCAAACACACCAAGCAGCTTATCAGAGCCCACAAACTCTGCACAGGAGGGAAAAGCTGGCAGCATAACAGAAAAGCTGCCAGATGCACATGCATGGCGAGACACACAGCCCTGTCTGCAGCTTGAAAGTGAATGCAGATATGTTGGGACTTTCCTTTCCAAAAGGAAATATGAGTCTGGTCAGTGGCCTTGGGGGTCTCTTTCTTCATTGCCCTCCCACTGACACTGACCCATCTCCTGTCACTCCAGCATTGGCTTTGAAGCTTTGGATTTGTTCTCATCTAGGATCTCCAGGTGGGAGATAAACAAATAATGAGATGAGGCAGAGCTGCAAAAGCAAATTAATAATGTTTCAGAGCAAATGAGAAATAAAGAAATCATATACACTGAGTAAGCCAGGCCCATGTTACAGAGTGAGCTGGTTGGCCAAGACGTCTACTGGAACACATGGAGATGTCAGATTTTGTTTCTAAAGACAAAGGACTCACCCTTTTGTCTGAACATGGGACCTACCCTTGGAAATAAAAAAAGCTTGGGACAACTGTGATGTATAAGCTACATATAAGCTCCCAGAAGGATACTGTGGTCTAAAATACTAATCTAATCCTTGAATGTAAACACAGCAAAGTCAGGTAGGAATAGATGGGTGTTACCACTTGGCACTTCTTTTGCCAGTACTGGAATACTGAGTCTCGTGTTGCGGTACCAAGCATAGGACTAAAACTGGCTGGTAGCAAGAATGGGTGCTAAAGTGGTTAGTAGATTGAATTATGCTAAAGGATAATTGGATAAAGTTCAGAGATTTTAGAATGATTGATAAGAGGCATGACATAGTAAGACGCCAAGATCTTTGCCTATTTCATATAAAAGACAGAATTAAAGGAAAGCCTGAACAGAGCTTGTGAGCAACTGCACCATAACTAAATTTGGAAGACTGCCTTAAATTCAGCAGACAAAGGTTTAACAAGATCCCATGTCTGGGATTTGGAGCTGAGCATATTCAGATCACCAATGAGAGACCTTTCTAAAGCAAAGACCACTGAGCTAGTCTGTTCTTCCCCTCTGCAGTGCCTACACCGAGCCCTACAAGGTGTGCTCAGTCTCTGTGATACCCACAGAGGTTGTCACATCAGATGAGGAACAGAAGAGTTCAGAAGATGACGAGAGCAGCCTGGGTGATCCCAGCCTCATCAACAAGGTAAGAGACCTGAAAATGTGGACTGCATGAAACTCTGAGAGGGAGAAACAATTTGCAGAAGGACTGGACTCTCAACTCTGCTCTTTACCCCGGTGCTCATTTAGAAATGTCAGAGCTATCAGGCCTCCAGTGCACTACCAACAATTTACCCCCGTAGCATTGTGACAAAGAACTGCCAGCCTAAGATGGGACAGTGGAGGCAACACAAGGAGGAAAGGCCTGACTTGAATGTCAGGAAAAACATCTTACTTAAAAGAAGGATTTAACTGTGATCTTTACAATCTTACAAACTACATTGAATAAAACAATGTCAAATAAATTATTTGGACCCGTTCTGCCTTGTGAATTATATGCAATTCTATATAATTCTATATAAACTATATAAATGTAATTCTATATAAACTATAGTCTTACCTAAACAGGTTGGACCAGATGATCCTTGAGGTCACTTCCAACCTGGCGTTCTATGATCCTATTGTCTAGGAGGTGGAGTAAATTATCTAATAGGTTTCTGCAATCTCACAATTCTCTCATAATGGGAAAATGAACTCATGTTTGGGTTGATTGTATTGACTTATGATGAATAAAACATCTCTTAAATTACGGAGAAGACCATGGAAATGTGACTACAGATTAAGATCATACAAGGCTGTTTTAACCTCTAGTAAGGTGTCCCAACAGTGCAGTTGTTAAAAAATGGCATTGAGCAGTTTTAGGTACAAATTTATCTTTGTTTTTCACAGATTTTTTGGTGTGTGTATATTCTTTAAACCTAATACGAGCCTAGCAATCTAATGTTATGTCTCTGAGTACAAGCACCCACTGCATAGCTCATTTGAGTGGCATGGAACAAATGGGTATGTTCTTCTGAAGTCTTCCAATTTGAGCCCAGGAGCTAAGGTTGCATAGGAAAACAGCAAATCTTGATCTGCTACACCTTGCTCTGCTTTCATTTTGGCCTCATGTCTCAGTGTCAGCACAGCCATTTAGCTTTCTGATTGTAGATGGCTTGTGTCTGCTCATAGGCATGTGTCAGAGCCTGCAAAAGTCTGTGCAGATGTCCCTCCAAAACCAAATTATGACCAAGTAAGGGTCAGCTTTGTCAAGATTAAGCATATTGATTCTAGAAAAACTGGATCTCTTCAGGCATTTCTAGTCTATGTAGCTTTGTCTAGGGGCAGGTGTAGAGAGAAGGGAGCAGAATTTTCCCCTTACCAGGACACCAGTTTTTTCAGGAACAGAAAATTGCAAACGGAATGACCATGAAAGGGAAGTGAAATCGCTGTTGCTCTCTGAGGGAGAACACCTTTTGATTTCCCTGTGTGCTGTATTGCTCTGCATCTGCCCTGCAGGATGCTGAGCTGCCCATGGTACCAGTGGCATATTTTTCCTTCAAGTTCTATTAGTTAGCTGACAAATCACTAGCATTTTTAGAGCATACATGTGTTATGTCAGCTTGTGAGGTTTTCTCCGCATGTCTTAGTTGTGATGCCAGCAGAGAGGTGACAATAAAATTGTCACTTGAGTTCACAAGGGAAAAGCATGCAACCACTGTGCACTTGGTAGCAAATTCAAGGCTGTTAAAACAAATCTTATTGACTTTTTTGTAGGGTTTTACTCAAGACATCATTGAGCTGGATTCAAACCTGAACTTCATGGTTGTTTTTTTACTCCTAAAAAATGATAAATCCATCTTGGACCCATCTAGCTTACACGCATGAAAGGAATTCAAAGGGAAATTAGTTTAAGAGTTCAGACTTGACTAGACACCAACTTCAAGTTCCCTTTGGTAGAACTTAAGTTTTTGTAGCAGTCTCAAAACATTCAGTTTTTAAAAGATCAGAAATAGAGACAACATAATCTTTAAAATCTACTTTTGAGCTCAGCTCCATGGTTTGAAAAGGTCTAGAATCAACACCTGCTGGTTGATCAGCAGTATGTTACAAGGAGCTGTATATGCAGCCAGTATTACAGAGATGAGATGTCACCTTGGTGGCAAAATGTGAAAGTCTGTAGTGAGCTGAATAGCAAGCATGTAACCACAGCAAAACGGTATAAAAGAAAGAGAATTCAGACCAGACATGGCTGGAGTTTATGCCAATGAAAACACAAAGCATTCTAGCTAGTCATTTAGGGCTTTAAGTTTAATACATCTGACCTTAGCCAGACTGGAGGGGTGCTCATTACCTTTTTATGGTGGTGTGCTGGGGGTGGGGCACGAAGAGGAACCTCATAGAGCAACAACTCCTAGCGCTGTACTCGTGAGAAAGCAGCACTGGAGGCAAGATGCTCTACCCTCCTCCCAGGTGTCAAAATATAAGGCAATGGAGAAAAGGGCGATAGCAACCCAGTATGGCAGATGGAAGGGACCTGTGCCCCACACAAACAAGGTACACTGAGCTTAGCCACAAAGGTCTCACAACAAGCAGGGCAGCTACTGTCTGATGGCTGCAGAACAGAAGCTGCCTTTGCTGCTGCTTATCTATTTCCACTGGGTGGGCTTTGTTTCCAGACTCCATTAATCATTCTGTTTTGCAAACCTTTAACCTTCACATATTAAAACACACACACAGAACTGAAACATACTGGAGCTAGGAGTGACAGATTTGTGTGCCTTGAGGACCTACCTAATTCAGATGCCTTTAGCAGCTCTTGATTTATATAACGACCCAGATTCCCCAGGAGAGCTGCACTCTAGCTCTTCAAGGAAGGGGCCTGGGAGACAGAAGATGTGGACTGCTTTTCCTTTTCTCTAACAAATTCACAGACAGCCTTTGAAAGCCACTTGTATTTGTAATGCCTCAGTTTACTGTTGACACCACTGTGACATGACTGTGAACTGCTACACAGTTCATAATAATTACAAAAGAGGCATTATGAAGTCATTCAGCTCAGAGGCTGAAGCTTGCAAATTGCTGTCAGTGTTCTTGTGCTGGGTTCTATCCAGCTGCAGTGCACCTACCCTGAGGAGTCTGAAATAAGACACACGGAGGAAAATGCAGGAAGATATGCAGTTCGTCCACGTCACCATGGCAAGACAGTGGGACACACCAGAATGGCGCTGCTGCTTCTAGTTACCCTAGTTACTAGTTACCCTGCTTTTGAAATGCGAAGGATTACTCCAGATGAGTGGCTTGCACCAATGCTTGCAGCAAGTGGAAGCACCAATGCTTCTATTTTAGTGAACTGTTCTGTGATCTACTTGTGCTGGTCTAAGGCCGTACAACCTCCAGCCCAATGGAGACAGATTTTCCCCCAGCCCCACAACTTTTTAAGCTAAGCAGCTGCATCAGCGTAACTGAGAGCTCTGAGATACCTGGCACTGTCACCACAGATGGCTTGGCATTGGTCAGGACAAAGCCAGAGCATATAAATCACTCAGTGTGGAGTTATCCCTATATGAACTGGATTACTACCACAGAGAAGGGAGTCCTGCACCAGTTAAGTGCCACATCAGCACGGACAATTAATCACCTTTTTCCACTGTTGACTACTTGAACCCTTCTCAGCCCAAATGGGTTTTTTCTACTAGGAGGCACAAAAGAAACACAAAACCTACAGTTTATCAGCAGTTTGAGTTGCCTAGGACTTGTACTTCAGCTGTGCTCACATTTGTGCTCTGTAAAGATCTGCAGGCTTTTGGGTGTTTATTGCTCTAAACAAAAGCTTTCTGGTGGTGGGCTTCATTACACATTGGAAAACACTGGCTGTTGGAGAAGAAGAAACTCTGAGCAAGTCACAAGTCATCTCTAGGTCTCAGTTTTCCATCGGTACACTTGGTATCCGTTTGGGGGAGGGCTGCAGGGCTTAGTTTAGCTAATGGAGAGATGATGGCACAGTATCCTCTTTGCTTTGCAAGTTATGTTGCTCAGCTGAGCTGTAGCAACTGTACAAGCTCCTAACCTGGTTTAGGTGCCTTTGTGTTTGTGACCTTCCTGGCCCCAGCATTTTTTTCAGAGCTGAGAGAAGAGGAGATATTTCAGTTATATATTGCAATTTTATATTGCATATTGCAAACACTTTATCAAGCATTTGGTTTTGGTGAGGATGGGGCGATGAGGCTACAAGACAAGACTCAGTGAAGCAGAAAGCTAAAGGTCCCCCTGTGGCTGCATGGCCTCCATCTGCTAAACAGAGGATTGCAGTGAGGCCTGGAGTACAGCTTCTGGGGTGGGAGCTGGGAAGGAGCCAGGGCTGGGCACAGGACTAGCTGCAGGGAGCACAGGTTGCTAAAAAGGGGGCAACTTAGCCATGCTAAAATAATCACTTGGACTTTGCTTCAGAACCTTGCTTGCCCTCAATCCCCCATTCCCAGAAGTTTTGTCTCCAGACACTGTCGTCAATCTCAGAGTTCATTTCCTTGTTAAACAAACAGCAATTAAATAACACAAGATGGGCAACGCCTAGAGAGACTGTCTCAAACTCGCCTAGACGGGCCATGTGACACCGGGGTCCCTGTGCTCTTGCATAAGACATATTAATCATGAGAGGAATTACAGAGTGTGACAATGTGTGTGTGCAAAGGGAAAGCAAGCCTGGCCTGCTGGGGAAATACACTCTGCTTCTTGACACTGTGGAGCCAGGCTTGTCCACAGAGGACATCCTGAAAAGCCAGTTGGGCCAGGAGACCCAGAAAGATACAGAGCCCCTTTCGTTTGCTCTTCAATTAAGTTTCACGTTCCCTGACCTCTAGCAACCTGACACACAGAATCTGTGGTGGAAATACAGCCACAAACTTCCCACATGTCAGGTATACCAAGGAACTGCATTACATCACTTCATGGCCCAGTCCAGCTTTCAGAAGCAGGATCTGTAAGCATCGGGTTTCCAGCAAACCTGGTTTGGCAAGGTCACAAAGACTTGCTGCTGAACTCACCTCCCCTGAGGCCACTTTAGGTCAGTGAGGGCTGCTTTTCTTCACCACTGCTGCACTACTGTTTTAGTCCCCTACTTCACCACTACTAAGTCAAACTTTTCCCAGTAGATTCCTTTCAGTAAATATTTCCATGTTTTGGTCATTTCTCACCATAAGGCTAAGTCATGAAATAGGAGCAAAATAGCCTAATTAGCCACTTGCACCTCAGAGCTATACACTTTGTTTCTTTCACAGTTTTCTGTGTCTTCTGAGATGCCTTCAGCTAAGTAGATGCCACTGAGATGTTGTCTGCTGGAGTTCCAGGCTCTTTGCTTTCTGGAGATACGTATGGCCATTCAGCTTGGACATTTTGTTTAGCATGCAAGAATCCTTTGCCCCATTTGCTTCCACAGGTCTCACAGCAGTCAAAACACTTTGGAATATGACCATTTTGATAAAGAACTCCCTTTTCCATGTAACAAAGTGTAGTAACACATAGCATGATCCCAAACAGCACTTTCTGCTCTCTGATGAATTTTGGACCTGTAAAAATCAACAGAAAAGTTCTCTGGTTCTTCAATAAGGACAATTTTTCAAACTTGACATCTGCCTAAGCAGCTATTGTACCACATTAGTAGTATTTGAATTGCAGAAACACCCTGTTATGGAAAGGACTCCAGGATGCCAGGCACAGAACAACAAAGAATAAAAACCTGCTCACTGTTTTTACTGAAGAAATATCTCAGTTCAGAGTGCTAACACTACTTTATTTCTTGGAATAAGACGTGTCTTAATTTGTCTCTGTTTTTTGCTGTTGACAGAAAGAAGGCCAATCCAGAGCTTACCTTATTGCCCAGGAGCTGATGTCTTCAGAAAAAGTGTGAGTTCATTGTTACAACCCTATCTGCTGCTCTCCTAAAACTGAGGCTACACAATCCACCCTTCAGCAGTGGTTTGATGTCAATAAATAAAAGTTTGTCTCTTTCCCCAGATACGTGGAGATGCTCCAGCTGTTACGTGTGGTAAGTAAATTATTTTAATCACTGGAACCTAATGGCTTTTTTACCTAGTTGCAATTTAGAAGACATAAAAGCATTGAAGGGACTGAGGTGAATTTGAGGAGGGATGGTTTACAGTGAACCTCGCTCTCAACATCTTTCTTGGCTGTTAGTTGCAAGGCAGTAGGGAATAAGAGTCACCACACAAAGCATGCCCACTGCTGCTTGGAAAGAAATGCCCTGAGAAGGGAAAAAGTAGCACTAGGTTGTCCTTGGAGGACACCCTCAGCCCTAGCAGTGGACGAGAACTCTTACGGAGAGAAAAGTAATGAGGTGAGCCTTGCACTGCTGCCTGCCCACCGTGCCTCTCAAGAAAGCCACCAAAGCTTCAGAGCCTTCTCAGGCTTGGTGAGCAGAGGCAGGAGATCAGCCTTAAGTGTGACAAACACCTTGCAGGTTCTTGCATTTCAACAGATCAGAAACTGCCAAGCTGATCAGCTAGGAACCAAACACTTTAAGGAACTTGGCAGCTTCAGTGGCAGCTACAAGTATTTTGATAAATTGGTGAAATGTGCCCCTAGCCATTTGACTGTCCTGGCTTTCCTCTGATTTCTGCACAGCCAGACAAGCTACTTGACACCAGTGAGAGAAAGATGGAGCTATCCATTGCATCCTGGGGAAGCCAGGGTGGACTAAAGGGCTTCTGATCACGAAGAATACCCACAGAACTCCGTGCTAAAATTAAGATTTCCAAAAGTTATCATCAAGAAAAAAAAAAAAAAAAGTGCCTCTGCCAGCTTCCAAATCAAAACAGAATTACACACACAGGAAATTACCATGCACAGGGAGTATCAACCACTCTGCATCACCATTAGATGCATCCAATTAAAACATTCTTTAATATATTTATCTGTGATTTCCAAGTACATCTGGTACCTTATGGTCAGCATGTAAGTGCAGGGCTGAACCACTGTGTGTGTATTTAGTGGAGTTGTCAAGGAGAGACTTCTTGATATATAGAATAACATCCTAGCATTTTCCATATATCTTCTAGGACATAAAAGTGGCTAACTACCATGGCCTGAAAAATCTTCAATTTATAGATCCACATCCTGCAAGGCACTTCAGTGCCTTCAACCACAGCATGAAGGCTGCTATAGCACCATGTTACTGCCAGGCTGCCTTGCCTGTGCTGTTCCTGGGCCAGGAAAGGGATGCTTCAGGACTTTCTCAGTCCCTTTAAGACTTAATTTGCCCTTTTCTCCTTCCTCTGGTAAATCCTGTTGTGGTGAATTTGGCTCTGAGGGTATCTGTTAAATGAGTATTTTATGCATTTTCAAAATAATCCCATTTTTCTGTCTGTAAATATAATTTAGAAGGAACAGGAAATGTCATTTTTGCTTTCTTTTTTCCAAGTTGACAACTTTAACATGAGACAGGGATTCTGGTTTATATCTTTGCTAATTTTTTTTTAGTTTAGAAACACTTACGGATGAAAGAACATGCTGTTTGCCCTTCAGCTAGATGGACTCCAAACTGTTGGCAATCCCTAATACTAAAAAAAACCAAACCTGCATCCTAAGTTAGTTAAGGAAGAACTCTGCTTGGCTGCTAATTTTATCTGCTGCAGTGCTCCAGAGTTGGCTGAAGATATGAAGGAATGAAAAAAGTTTTCCAGGCTTAACTGAAAAACATAACTACTCTCTATTCTCCTGCCTGGGAGACACTTCTTAAGGACTTGATTGGTTTTTCTGTATCTTTCAGTCTTGTAACAGAATATTCCACTGAATTCTGCTTTGCTGGGATTTTGTTTCCCTGCCTGCCCACCCCACTGGAGTAGAGGGAACTTAGGAGTAACAAACAGACACATCAGTTAAAAAATAGATCTTTGCTGTGCACTCACTGTTGACACAGGTCCCACTGGCAGATGTCACAAGCAACTACCAGTGACCAATCAGTCAGTCACCAAACTGCCATCAAGGTACAACACCCCATTCTCTGCCAGTTACGGCCAAAGGCTTCCTCAACAGCCTATCTCAGTTCAGGAAAACATTTCCCTTTGTTCCCCATCACCAGCTTTCTCAAGGAAACAGTTTCTTAATGTTCATCTTCAAGCCTCAAGTTTCATCTTCTTACATAAACCCACATGTTGGTAAGAAAGGCAAGGAACTAAGCCACACAACAGCTGCTTTCAGAAGGGAAAAAAGACTTCTCTTAAGTCTGCAGCAGGAGCAGTTTCCCATCTCATTTTTAGGCTTGGCTAGAGCTGCTATTCATTCAGCATAACATATTCTGTTTGGCCTTTCAGCAGAGACTTTAGTAAATTGATTGATTGCCAGAACGATGACATTTCCATACACCCACTCTGCTATTGAACTAAAAGAGTGGAAATATTGTGTTAGCTCACAAGCTCGGTATCAGTTGGTGTGGTAGTAGTGATAATAATCTACAGGGTTAGCTGTTAGTCGCCCTATTCAAAGGTAATGCAATTCTCTGGAGCAGAGAGTTAAGAACTCATTCTGGACTCAGCAGATGGGACCTGGGGGCCTTAGAGTCCAAATCCCTGATCTCTTGGTACTCACCATTTAGTTTTTCAAAGTTCAGTACTCTTTGCATTTCCTTCAGGATAATTTAATCCTCAGGTGTTGACATCCTTTTCTCCTGTTTTTCTTCCCCAGTAATGCAGGCTGCACTTGTCATCTTTTTCTTAGTGCTTGCTCCTGAACAAAATGCTGCAGGTTGCTTTCTCAGCCTAATGTTTCACACATCACTTTGAAGAACCAAGAGCATCATTTATTTGCTTCCCTTCAGTCTGTCTGTTTCAAATGACTTTACTAGATGTACACAAATTAAACCCAGTGTGATTCAGACTTCCTCAGGAGTCCAGTCTCTGTGGGATCAAGCACTGCTTGATAGTTTACAATGTTGACTTTTTTTTTTGTCTTGACCTTTTGTACATAAAATCCCCCCTTTTTTTTTGCACACAAACCCCTTTGAAGTCATTATTACTTCTCTCCAAGGCATTTACTGAATTAAGATACCTAAAGGGACAGCTTTGCACTGAAAACACACCAGTCTAAACACCTCTGTTTTTCCTGGCTTGCATTTTCCTCATAACAATGGGCCACAATTCTTAGAAACACCAAAACCCAGATTTATGCTTCCTTGGTATTTTAACGTATGGATATGGATATGATATGAATAGATATAACGTGCCGGATCTCCAGCCTTTGAACAGTTGGGATCCAGCTCTGCATTGAGCATCATGGGCTTCTGACTACAAAACAGATCTTAGGAAATAAAAAAAGAAGAACAAAATCATCTTAGTACTCAAGTCACTAAATCAAAGGTACCTACATGCAGATTATTATTAAGTCAGGCTCACTAGTTAAACTCTACTTTCAGAACTCCTGTGGGCAGCATGTTCTCAAGAATAAAAAAATAAACATCTTATTTAGGAGCCACTATTGCATGTTAGACGAAACAGAACTCCATCTCTCTAATTACTTACACTTCCAGTGAATGATTGGCTGAGCCTTTTTTACTACTGTGAATTTCTTGGATGATGTTCAGAGTTCTGCTGGACCAATCAAATTACTACTTTCCTAATTAAATGCTTTAGTGAATGGAACGTGCTGGCTAAATGAAGTGCTAGCTGGCTGTTAGACCCTCAGAAGCTCTTATCAAAGCCTAAAGATGCACTGTAACAAAAGAACAGCCTGCCCTCACAGTATGCTGGGCTTTTTCATTTTATTCTTCGTTGTCTTCATCAGCAGTGGGAAAATAGCTCTGTAACAGCCATGGAGTCTCTGCAGTGGGAATGCTGAGCCGAAGTAGCTTCCAGATAATCTATGTATCTCTTAAAAGGGAGGGAAGTCACACTAGCATACTTGGCTAGAAGCCACACTAGCACATCAGGACAATCCCCTGGTAACAAGCCCCACTGACAGTGTTCACAATGCACACTCTACATCTTGCCAGTTCTGAAACTCATTTGCAGTGTTTTGGATGAATGTGTGTATTTGGCTGCATGTGTGTGCTGAGGTCAGGGTTCCTGACCTAGATCGTACCCTGCAATGGCAGGATAAGAGACTAATTGTGTCTGCTGTAATAGCATTTTCTGCTGCTCATCTGGCATTGTTTCTACTGATCCTAATAGTGAGAAATTTGGGACGATCACTGCTCAGTTCAGATCAAAGGTCACTCTCTGCTACAGAAGGTGTGCCACTTTTTATTTCAGGGTTACCACTTTCACCTTCATCATTAGCATAGAGGCTGCTGGCCGTAATGAAGGTAACTCCAGGAGCCACTCATGAGTCAGACTTGGCTCACATAATCCTCTACAACATCTCAGGTCTGCATTCAGCTTTAATATGGGAACACTTCTTCCCCTTTGAACTCTTCTCCCTCCCCCTCAGGTGTAATGCCTATATGTCAAAAAGAGCCTTGGATCCTGCAGTGTGCAGTATCTGTCAATCCACCTTCATTTTAGAAGGTAAAGTGGATGTAAAAGCTTGCACCATCATATGCAATCAATTGCAATCAACTGGTCGGCATCTTTTGACCAACTTGCTATCTGTTTAGCTACACCTTTAAGTAAAAATCTTGACTTTCTCTCCTACTGGCCTACTGAGCTTTCTAATCAACATAGTTGCTTTCAGCCTCTTGCAGGTGACAGATCTATCAGCTTTATACAGTGGAGGTAGAGACTGATTTCAATCCTATAACTTCCCAACTACCTGTTGCAGTACTCCCTGGTTCCCTAGGGATCCATGGGCCACTAGATGAACTGATCTAACCTGGCCTGTTCTGTTATACACAGAAAAAGCAAACAGATATTCTAAATCCAAACTGAATTAATGTACCCTGGATTATTTTCAAGTAGAATTTCAAGAAGAGAAATCACCCAATATAGCAAATATATATACATATATTTACAGGCAGCTTTTTCTCCTGGGTAAATTAGCTGCCTGAAGCAGTGTTTTAGCTGATAATAGGTTAGTTTTCCTGCTTTTCACTAGGGTCCTGAAAGGTTAAACGTTCTGAGGCTAAAAGAGGCTAACTGGCAGCAAGGCTGAAATGCAGAGAACAATATGTATGGCATGTATCCATCTCGCAAAATGGCTGTTGATATGCATACAAGATTGCCACAATTCATCTTTGCAGCTGGACTCCAAAGCATTTCAGCCCTTTATTGGAGAGATTTAATACACAGCCTCATCTTTTCTGCACCTGCTTACAAAATCCTGGGAGAAAACACAGACTCCTTTTGCCTTTGGATTAGAATCTCACATCTCAGATAATGAATCCTGCAGAGAACTTCCTTGCTAAGTCCTCTAGCAAAAACCTCTGGTCCTCTTTGAAAGAGTACCTGGAGGTAACTACCTGCTACAAAGGTTTCCAGGTTGCTAATCCTAGGTAAACTGTGCTACTTGCCTGTAGCTCTGAACCAGGTATTTAAATACCTTTTTCCCAAAACTCTCCTGTAATCACCATTTTCCTCTTAGCATTAGTAGGCACTGCCAGCATCTCTAAAGCATCTCATACCCCAGCACCCTGCAGTGAGACTCATCACTTCACACAGAGGATCAGATTCTGCTCCGAGAGCCAAGCACAACAGCTAGGTAGTGCTCCACATAAATCCTAAGATCTTGTAGACACTAACCCCACATTCCTCTTTGTCTCGTGACCTTCTAACAGGCTGTAGGTTACAGTTCCTGTTCCCAGAATTACCTATATCTTGGGGAAAAAACATTACTTGTGTGTGTTAGTGATGTACACACAGAAAATAGGAAAAAAAAACAAACCAACTTTTGTGGCTGCAGGTTTTATCCTGTTTTGTTTCATGTTATCATTTTTAGGGTTTATTTCAGAGATGTTAGGGATTTGGCTGCTGAATGGCTGTAAAGGGCTTGTTTCTGGGCACCCAAAAAGTACTGAAAAGTTTTACATTTCAAAACTGCATTTTTATAGCACAATTGCTAACTTTCCATGTCACCTTACCAGTGAAGGTTATGGTTCCACATGCACTCACCACTACTGGTGCAGGGACAGGCTAAGGCAGGAATGAGATCCACAGCCTCATATACCCCTGGATGAGACCATCCAGCCATCATGCCAGAGTCTTGAACTGAACAACTTTACTTCATGTTTCTATTCTAAGAAAGTTTTGACCCAGCAGGGAGTTATATGGACTCACTGTTTAGTGACTCCATAGGATTCACTTAGGACTTCTGTGTTTAGACACGGTTTGGGTGACAGACTCAGGAGACCTTTGGGTGCCATGACTGACCAGAGTTAGTGAGACTGCCAGAGCACTTTGCATCCATTAATGGCTTCTCAGGCACTAGGCCTTTTCAATAGTGACTTCTTTTTTTTTTTTTTTAAATGGACATTATAGTGATTACTGTTATCCTGTAGGTTTTGTATTAATCATTAGGAAGCTGGCTATCCAGGCAACTGGAATGAAATAATTTGTCTGAGAATTCATTATAATCAAAGGGGCAGGCAATTAATGACTAATTAAGTTCACTGAGATGCTGTGGGAAAGGAGTGTTAATCTTGTTGCTCAGCTATGGTGGAAAGTGGACAGATACAGAGCTGTTCAATGTTAATTTGGAAAAGATGACATTTCTATAACATAATAGGTTAGTTAAGCACATCAGTAGTGAACTTAACTACATCTATTCACTTCCCCAGGCACAATAAACTCAAAGAACCCTTTGGATTCTTTCCAATTCCCCAGTCTGGATTAATTATGATGACTGAGGACTTGGAAAGGTTACAGATTCCTTTGAGTTAGGAAAAGCATCCAGAAGATGGATTGATTGGCTCAGTTGGTCAGAAAGCCTCTAGAGTGTACACTGGCTGAAATATGTAGATAGATCAGCTCACTCGCACACCAGAGAAACAGGAGCAGGAACAGCACAACAGTGGGGTTATTTGTGGTACTGGGGCAGGACACATTGTGGAAACCAGATACAGATAATGAAAGCACAACAATACCCTTTTCAAAAATTGTTATGATCTTATTTTATCCAGGATATAGTTAGTAAAAAGAAAATTGTCATAATGATATTTTTTTTTACCCAGTTCTAGTGGCTTTTCAGAAAACAAATGCTTTTTCTGTCACAGTTACTAAAAAAACCTAAGAGTATGTATGACTTTCTTTTTGGCTAGTATCTATTAGATAGTCCAGTCATTCCAGTTCACAGTGATCCAGCAGTTGACAATGTTACAACTGAAAAGACAGGACGAACCTGAGTATGCTATAGACTTTTTACCTGGCCTCAGTTCCTACTGGTGAGGAGAGAGCAATTTTCAAGTTCTTTGCCCTTCTGCTCCTGATAAAACCTTTCAGCA